GGAAGTAGCATGTTGGAGAATTAAAAAGCATATATGCGAAGCCTGTATTTTTTTTTTTGACATAGAACTGAAATAAACCACTGAAGAATGTATTTTTCCAGAGAGTACGCAGAGGCTCACAGTAATTACAAAAGCAAATCCAGTCAGCTGAGGGATCTCAGGAAGTTTATTGATCGCCTCGACCACATCATGATTGACCGTCAGGACCGATACAAATCAATGCGACGGTAACTTAGTATAACACCGTTAATCACAGTTGGATGTTTCTATTTAAAAGATTGCCACTCCTGTTCTTTAAGTTTGAACAAAGGAATTGTGTTTTCAGGTCACTTTCTGTGAGATGCAAGCTGTACTTCATCAAGTTCATGATGGAGCTGAAATGCTGTGGCTCTATAATGTTTGATCACATCAATGAAACTCTGTCCATTTCTGTAAGTTACGTTTGGCAGCAAGTTATATTCTGACTTCAGTTTGCTCAAATGTTTGACTGAATCAATTAATGGGATGAATCCGATGAAAATATCTCTTGGGTCATATAATATCTTGAAAATGTTTTGATCAAGGCTGCATTTATTTGATCATAAACAGTTAAATTAGTAATATTGTGAAATATTATTACAATTAAAATAACATTTTTTTTAGTTGAATATACTTTAAGATGTTATTTATTCCTGTGATGCAAAGCTGAAGTTTCATTACCATTACTCTAGTTTTCAGTGTCACAGGATCCTTCAGAAATCATTCTAATATGCTGATTTATATTTTAAGGATTCTGATGTATACCTAGCGTTAAGTGAGTACACAATTATAGTGTGAGTAAAAACTTCGTGACCTAATGGTTAGTGAGTCGGGACTCATAACCCGAAGGTTGTGGGTTCGAGTCTCGTACCGGCAGGGATTGTAGGTGGGGGGAGTGAATGTACAGCGCTCTCTCCCACCTTCAATACCACGACTGAGGTGCCCTTGAGCAAGGCACCGAACCCCCAACTGCTCCCCGGGCGCCGCAGCAAAAAATTGGCTGCCCACTGCTCCGGGTGTGTGTGTGTTCACTGCTGTGTGTGTGCACTTTAGATGGGATAATTGCAGAGCACTAATTCCGAGTATGGGTCACCATACTCAGCCACATGTGTCACTTTCACTTTCACAACATCCTGGGTTCTTTTGTGATGTATGTTACTTGTTTCGGCTCAGGTGAAACCCCCCGGTCAGGAAAAAAACAACGTCAATGACATGCGTTCCCTCTCGGGAGGCGAGCGCTCCTTCTCCACTGTCTGCTTCATTCTGGCACTCTGGGAGATTACCGAGTCGCCCTTCCGGTGCCTGGACGAGTTTGATGTCTACATGGTATGTACTCTTGCCTATGTGATGACTTTATTGAGGACATTTGACATGTCAAACATTAGTATTTTACATATAAAGTATTTCATGTGTTTAATAAGCTCTTTTGTCTTTTTAAGGACATGCATAATCGCAGCATTTCAATGAACATGCTTGTGGCACTTTCAGAAGATCAACATCAGCGACAGTTCATCTTCATCACCCCTCAGTCCACCAGGTAGAAAAATAAAAGTTTTTACATGTTTTATGGTGAAACTCACTGAAACATGTCTGATTGACCCTAGTGGGGGGGGCTAAAATGTATATTTACATACCCTGCAATTGTACATTTGGTATACTTAAAGTATGCTAAATGTGAACAACTAATTTTGGACTTAATGCACTTTAATTGTGCAGAAATAGTGCTGAGGACCAACTAAAGATACGCTTAAGTATATTTGATTTTGCTAAAGTGGAACTATTGCAAGTATACTTGAAATATCTTGCATGTAAAGACTGATATTATACAGAGATCATACAATCATTAATGGTGATATTAAAACACATTTTAGGCAAAATATTAAGAAATGTGCATTGTGCAAAAAAGAAATACTCCAAATAAAGTTTCATTTTATTTCAGTGAGTCTCAAGTAATATGTCAATTTGAATGTCTATTTGAAGTATACTTTATAGTTTGTATAGTATAGTTGTATAGTATAGTTTGAAATAAACGTATTTTAAATTATGGCATAATTTTTTTTGTTTTTTACTATGGGATATTTCACACCAAAAGCAAAACAAAAATTATAAAGTTAACATTTTTTGTAAATGAACGTCATCTCCATCCCGCAGCGTTCAAATTTTTGTTTGAAATTTAAAAACATCATAAATAAAGTGTTTTCTGACATTTTTATAAAAAATACAAAATTTTTAAAGGAATTAAAATATATTAAAGACAGTTTAAGACAAGTACAAATCATAGGTGTTTAAAAATGAGAATATCATCATACAAAAAGACTTTAATGTATGATGCCCGTTTTAGGACCTTTGCTGTGTTTGCATTGTGATAATTAAAGACATTTTTCCTCAGATTTTCATTACTGTAATCTGGACACTTGTTGTAAATTTCCTTTTTTTTTAATGCAAATCTGCATACATTCAGTAAAACAAAATGTATCATTATGTATACTTATAATTTTGTGCTGAAATATGACTAAACTCTTGAAAGTTTTTGTGTGAGATACCAGATGTTACTCAGAGTAACAGCATTCATTTCCTGTCCTCACAATCACATTTATTCAGGAAGGAAATGCAAACGGTTTGTAGACCACACTCCCCAAAGCAGGTTTCTTAATGACTTGCTGAACTAGTGCTTAGTTATTTAGTTTGCAGACATTAGTTAATCAAATGCATAATTGTAAACCAAGTAAAAGCGTATTAGTCCCGTAATGAGAACATTTTCTTTGAAGTGTCGATTTTTGCCCAGGGTCTTGTTTGTTAAGCTGTTAAGTCAATTAGAGATCCAAAACACTGTCTCCTTGCACAGCACTGAATTATAGAGTTAATGTTTTTGGATATAGACATTGATGTTTCTTTGCATTATCTTTCAGCCATCTGCCTAATAGTTCCCACATTAAGATCCACCAGCTTCAGGATCCAGAGAGAGAAGCGGAGGAGGAGTGAGATGTGTGTTAGGTACGGACATTGCCTGGAGAGACTGTACTGAAAGTGTGTAAAGTTTATATGTCTGTACAGTTTATTATGCATTTGCTTTTATTTAATTTTAAAGAAGTTTTATGGTTCTAGTTCCTCTGCAAAGGATGTTTCAAAAGCACAAAGCTTGCGCCTAATTTGTGTTATTGTGAAGTCCACACCATTTCATCAAGTTCATGTGGTCTTTTAAGAAAGAAAAAGGAGGCTCAAGGAATAGTTCACCCAAAAATGAAAATTTGCTGGAAATGTACTCCGTCTCAGGCCGTCCAATAAGTAGATGAGTTTGTTTCGTCATCAGAACAGATTTGGAGAAATTTTGCTTCACATCACTTGCTCACCAATGGATCCTCTGCAGTGAATGGGTGCCGCCAGTAATCCACACAACTCCAGTAACATCAATTAACAATTGCAAAGTGAGAAGTTGTGTGTTTGTGGGAAACAAACACATTAAGACATTTTTAACTTCAAACTTAGCTTCAGCTAAAATATGAGTCCTCTGTACATACAGTAATATTGATTTCTTTAGTGAGAGTAGACTACAATGCCGGCTGTAATGCCTCACAGACTGCAAGTACGTTTTCATATTTAAAGAATTTGCCACTGATGATTCAAACACGAGTTTTGAGCAGTGTAGAGTAGCGCTTGTTGTTTGTCATTTCTCTGATCACAAATGCAGACATGCTTTTATGTTCACGCGGCACGACGCAACTCGTAAAAAGACAGTATTCTTTTATAGTAAGGCGTTATAATCCGTAATTATGTCCCCACTGGATGCAACAAAACACATTAAGACATTTTTAACTTCAAACTTAGCTTCAGCTAAAATATGAGTCCTCTGTACATACAGTAATATTGATTTCTTTAGTGAAAAAGTCTGAATCAGGAGAGAAACATACACTGATCAAGCACAGTTTACAAATGAAAACAGTTCTAAACAAATATGTTGGTGGATTTTAACATGAGAGGACAACAGGGGATGGGCTTTCTCACTGAAGGAAGCGTTATTATGGATTACGGACACGTATTTTGAACAGAAGTGACGGTTTGAACTTTGTTTGTCGTTTCTCCGATCACAAATGCAGACATTGGGTTTGTTTACGCGGCGCGATAGGCAACGCGTAAAAAGACTGTATAAGTCATTATAATCAGTACGTAATTATGTCCCCACTGGATGCAACAAATGCCTCCTTTATAATAGGTTTTATTGGTTTTGTCTCACCGCGCCGGGACAGGGCATCACAGTATGGTAAGGGGCGTAACATTTCCGTCACACGCTTGAGGTATTCGGCCAATCACAACGCACTGGATAGCTGGCCAATCAGAGCACACCTCGCTTTTCAGACCGATGAGCTTTGTAAAAATCGATGCGTTTCAGAAAGGCGGGGCATAGAGGAGAAACAGTAATAATGTACAGGATGTGGAAAATAATGTGTTTTTTTTTACCTTAAACTGCATAAACGCATTGCATTACACCAAATACACAAAATAATGTTCTTTTTTAGCAACGTCATATGACCCCTTTAAAACACCCTAATGATGGATTTGTTTCTTATAAACACACAGCTTTTTTCTTCGAGATATTAATTGATAGATTCATTGACTGAAGTGGTGTGGATCACTTGTGGACTATTGTGATGTTTTCATCAGCTGTTTGGACTCTCATTCTGACGGCACCCATTCACTGCAGAGGATCCATTGGTGAGCGAGTGATGCAATTTCCCCAAATCTGTTCTGATGAAGAAATAAACTAATCTACATCTTGGATGTCCTGCGGGTGAGTAACTTTCCATTTTGGGGTAAAATATTCCTTTCAGTTTCCAACCGTTAGCACCTGCTCATGGCGGTTTCAGTATGTTCAGAATTGGTATTTGTCCGTTTGAACCAGCATCCTCTGTAATAAACCACAATGCTCTTCTTAGATATCATTAACCATCTGATTTGTGCTCACACACGACCAAGCACCTGCATTCTGAAAACAACCCATAGATAGTTTATTGATTTTAATCACAATGTCGTCAGTGCAACCATTACATACCGAGTTGAAGACATGCCACAAATAAAACACAAACCTCTTATTACACAATTAAAGGACTGCTTCAATTTGGCTTTACCGTAGTAGGTACAAATATTTACAGGGCAAACATATACACTATTTATCGGGCAGTTGCATTTTACAAAGATGTGCCTTGTTCTCCACAAAAGGGACTGACACCATCCTGAATGTCACAAGATGTGAAAGTAGGAGATCTGGAATGCCATATTTTTAAAGTCTCAGGAGAACATAACATATGGAGGAAGGATAAAAAATGTAGAGAATAACATAACGAGGGTAATTGAAAAGTTGCTTCTGAGGGATGCAGCTAAAAACCATGGGTACTGGAGTAGAAATACTGTTTTACAAAAAACGGTTGAATAAAAATGCTGCACACTAAGAGTAAACGTGTACCAAACCCATTTAGGATAAGGTTTTGTCGTAAAACCAGGGGAAGCGGATCCTTTACCAAATGCCCTCCAGGGAAAATTTGCTTAAAATGTTATATTGCCCTTTCTGTATTACTAAAACGAATTCACAGGCAACCATTCATGCATGTGCGCAAAGTAAAACAAGAGCCTAACGCAATAAGAATGATGTCAGCGGTGGTCTTTTTAACGTTAAGAAAAAGAAAGGTCGGTTTTAGACTGGTTATACTGGTTATTAGGTCCTCGTGTCAGTGCAAAATAGGGTGAAATCAGCAGATGCAAATCATGACAGAGGCGGGGCTGGAACGTGTGCCTTACAGAGAGCTTTTACCACACACATGGTACGTCTTTAAGAGGAAGCATGCACCCGAGGGAGGACATCTAATGGATAGATGAGGAACGAATGTAAATCTCACATATTAGCATTGTTATTGATACTAGCATTTATATAAGGCCTCCCTTGTATTATTCGTCAAGGTTGCCGAAATGAAGAGAGAGTAGCTTTTTACACTTAGGACATGCATGCAAATAACGTACATTTATATTCTCAAGTACAAGCACGTTTGGAAGGAGGGCTGCACAAACCTCTCCGCCCTCCTAAATTTCGAGTATTGAAGTTCGACAGACTGATTTCATCGTAACATTTAGTGTGACGCGCTTCGGTTCCCAAACGACTGCGTGAAGTACGGCAGTCAACGTAGTGCGTGTGATCGGAAGTATTGCGGCTAGAAATGAAATACGGCGGAGCACTTCACTGACGATGGATGCGTGAAAACAACTGGACTCGTTTGATTTACACATCTCACATTGTTGCATGTTGGAAATTAAACGGATATACTCTAAACTCTTTAGCAGTTAACGTTCTCATGCATACTAGTTGTTCGATCACAAGAAGAAAGTTCGTTTAAAAGTAGTCCAAACATGTTACTCTTGTGGAAATGAGAGTGGAAACAGATAACTCGTTCAGTCCGGAGCATGCCTCACTTCTGCATGTCGCACTGCAAGAGCAGTACGATGGACGGGTCGCTCTTGGCGGCTTCTTTGAACTCGTCTAGTGAGATCTGGTCGTCGTTGTTTTTATCCATCTTGCTGAAGATCCGATCCACTCTCTGCTGTGGTGTCAGACCGTCCTCGTTCATCTTCATCATTATCACCGTGCCCACCATTTTATAAATAGCCTTC